CCGCCGAGTTTCGAGTGGTAGTGGGGGTCGCCTCAGGAATCTGCTCGAAATGAGCAACTAATTCCGAGCACTGATATAGAGGAACTATTGGTTGATTATTAATGATAATAACATTTTCTGTTAGTATTTGATTATTAATAGACGCCTGCCGTTTTGAATCAGCAATAAGATGTTGTATTGCTTTACAATTAGTTCCGCCTTGATCACATACTGACGTTACGACTATTAGACCCATGCCACAGTATATACAGTAGCGCAACTCTCTCGATTTTATGTTGGCCAAAATGGAGTGCGCATGCGTCAAATAAGCAAGTTGCCCCGTCTCATTTCCTCCTTCTTTATGCTCTCTCTCTATTGAAATGACCGTTTCAATGTTCCATTTAAAGAGCTGAGAGTAGAAATTTGGAGGGAAATATAACGTGCAATCGTACATCGTCCATTTAGCGAAGTGTTGTGTAGCCTGCGGCACACGATGCTTGTTTTCCTGCTGGATTGCTAGCTGGATTAGAATCTTGCCACTATATTGGCTGCGATGCTAGCACTGACAGCATCGCAGCCAATACGCAAGATTCTAATCCAGCTAGCAATCCAGTAGGAAAACAAGCATCGTTTGCCGCCGGCTTAAGAAACCTCAAGAGACTAGTCTCGTGAAAAAGTGAAATAAAGTGAAAAAGTGAACAAAAATAAAGAAAACCGAGCAAGAAAGATTTCTTTTTGAGAGAATAGTTAACCTATATAACTATATAGGTTAGCAATTCTCTTGGAAGAGCACTTTGATCTTAGATCACAATTCAACAATTTCGGTTAATGAAGCTTGTGGCTGTTACATGCATCATAAATTTCACACATATTAAACATGGAATATATTACAAATAAAATAAAGAAATGGAAATATAGAAAAAATGAAATATCTCTTGATTTTGTTCATTAATAAAACATTCCCTTTTAATATTTTAACATGCAGTGCTTTGTATTGTATGTATATATTATATGTCTTAGTATAATTATCAAAATTATTGTAATATATTGTATTAATAAATATATATGTTTTCTATATAAAATATATTAAATTTTTTATTTATTGTATTTTAAATTTATTTTTTGGACATATACATATATATAAATTTTTTTTTATATCAACTCACAACATTTTTATAGCATATATTTACAATTATGTAATATTTGAATACTTCTTTACAGGGTTGGTAAAGACTAATGTTTTTTTCTTAAGAATAAAACATATTATGTTTCTTCTTGAATATGTTTTTAATGCTTCAAATATGCTTTGAACAGTACTATAAAAAAAACATATTTAAAACATATTAAAAACATCAATTTAGCATGTTTTAAACTGTTTAAAACACGTTTAAAACATGTTTTTTACCAAACCTGCTTCTTTATATAAATACATATATGTTTTAAAAGTAATTTAATATTTCTCCTAATTTTTCTACATTTTCTCTTTATTTTTCAATATATTTACAATTTATTTTTATTAATTTTCATTAAGTTCAGATTATTTCATTGCAATAGATTTATTCGCGTTGCGTGCTCTAATTTAACTCTAATATGCTCCTATAACAGCTCTTACTTACTC